TAATCTAGAAATATAATATACATAACACATTATTATACATCTATAATCTAGAAATATAAGATACATAGTACATTATTATACATCTATAATCTAGAAATATAATATACATAACACATTATTATACATCTATAATCTAGAAATATAACATACATAGCACATTATTATACATCTATAATCTAGAAATATAACATACATAACACATTATTATACATCTATAATCTAGAAATATAACATACATAACACATTATTATACATCTATAATCTAGAAATATAAGATACATAGTACATTATTATACATCTATAATCTAGAAATATAAGATACATAGTACATTATTATACATCTATAATCTAGAAATATAACATACATAGCACATTATTATACATCTATAATCTAGAAATATAAGATACATAACACATTATTATACATCTATAATCTAGAAATATAAGATACATAGTACATTATTATACATCTATAATCTAGAAATATAATATACATAGCAAATTATTATACATCTATAATCTAGAAATATAACATACATAGTACATTATTATACATCTATAATCTAGAAATATAACATACATAACACATTATTATACATCTATAATCTAGAAATATAACATACATAACACATTAGTATACATCTATAATCTAGAAATATAATATACATAACACATTATTATACATCTATAATCTAGAAATATAACATACATAGCACATTATTATACATCTATAATCTAGAAATATAACATACATAGTACATTATTATACATCTATAATCTAGAAATATAAGATACATAGTACATTATCATACATCTATAATCTAGAAATATAATATACATAACACATTATTATACATCTATAATCTAGAAATATAATATACATAACACATTATTATACATCTATAATCTAGAAATATAATATACATAACACATTATTATACATCTATAATCTAGAAATATAATATACATAGTACATTATTATACATCTATAATCTAGAAATATAAGATACATAACACATTAGTATACATCTATAATCTAGAAATATAACATACATAACACATTATTATACATCTATAATCTAGAAATATAATATACATAACACATTATTATACATCTATAATCTAGAAATATAATATACATAACACATTAGTATACATCTATAATCTAGAAATATAATATACATAGCACATTATTATACATCTATAATCTAGAAATATAATATACATAGTACATTATTATACATCTATAATCTAGAAATATAATATACATAGTACATTATTATACATCTATAATCTAGAAATATAAGATACATAGTACATTATTATACATCTATAATCTAGAAATATAATATACATAACACATTACTACACATCTATAGTCTAGAAATATAATATACATAAACAAATTAATCAACTTACACTGTCATCTTTACCCCAGATAATTTGTACTGGTGACTGAATACGATGTATATTATCTACTAATGTTGAGGATTTCTCAGCAATACTTCTAAATACTAAAATTATAACAGAAAGTTTTAAGGATATAAACGTGACAAAGATTTTTAATAATCATTTTCACAAAGATAAAAGCTGTAGAAAATTGGGGGAGCCGCAGTGACTGAGTGACTTACACGCTTGATCTCTAACCTGAAGGTCCAATGTTCAATCCCAGCATAGGACACAATTATACCTTCAGTGATGCAGGTTGGAGGGGCTGACATGTAAAAAGCATCTAGTCATTAAGATGGGACAATAAACTGAGGCTACAGGCTATGCACTACAACCTGTGAACATAAAAGATCCCTCGACAGTTGGAAATTGTAAAACTTAAGGTTAATGCTGCTCTCCTGGCAAAGTTAAACTCATTGCATACTCTATGGTGTTGCCGATTGACATTAGCCTTAATTAGATGCAGAAGAATAGGACGTAAAACTCCATTCATTTCATGAGTATAAATTTGGTAATGTTGTTTCAAAGCATGAAATCTGTAATCAGTCTGATTTACTCTGAATATATATTGAATTATTGCCCAGGATGTTGTAAAAATATGTTATAAGGGCATGTGATCTCAGTAGATTCTATAGTTCTAATTGTTGCATTACTGAATGCACAAATCCTTAATTTTAAACCCCAAAATTAAAGAAAACTTACGTTTTAAAAAAAATACATTTCTCTTTTTCCTCATGTCTGCTGCTCCTTGTAAAATCTGAAATATTGTATATAATATAGATATAAAGAATGTGGCCTTACCACGAGAAATATGTCTATCCTGCATCATTTCTAACAAAAATAAAAATATACCTTTTTATACCCTTTGGCCCCAAAATGTTTGTCAGAATGAACCAAATCAATAAATTTTTCATGGGGACAATCCTGTGTGATAATGCATGAAAATAAGAAGGCTGATGACAATATTCTAACATAATTTCCCTTGTTGCACACTTCATGGCACCGTCCATCTTCATTTGATCTATTATATAATAATAACAACCTGTTGAGGTAATGTTTGTGGATAATAATGACTTAAGTTTAACATATTTTGTAGTTCTGATGGTGTTTGAGGTAATAAACCACAAGCTAATATTCCTTCATCTTCTCCCTTCTCATCTACTGAATCTTTTAATTTCTGAACAAAAATACTGGCTGATGGCGTCTGCACTGAAAAAAGAAAAAAAAAACAGTAGCTTTAAATATTTGACCACAATTTAACAACATTAACTTTGGTGATATGCTGAAAGTTCAACTTAGGTCACAAAAAAAACCTTAATCCAAATCCAAAATGATCACTTGTTGTTGCTGATAAATGACTTCGTAATTTTTAGTATTACTTTTTTACAAGATTGAGAATAATGGGTGACAGTGGGAAAAAAAAAATCGCAAAACTTACTTGATGGACAGCAGATTGTTACTTTATGTATTAGATGTGGATATTCTGCAGCAAATAAACCACCAATAGTTCCTCCCATAGATAACCCAACTATATGTAGTTTCTTCTCCATGTCTAGTTTCTTATGCTGTATAAACTACAATCAACATTGACATTTATCACAAACTATAAAATTCAACAAAACCATTCTAGAAAAAATAGCCTGTCAAGCAAGATGACATACACCTTTTATGAAATCTAAGTTGGGTGTGTTCTTCACATATTTGCTCAATTAGTTAAAGTTAAAGATAGGTTTCCTTGTTTTCATGTGTCAAATTTAGCAAACTATTTGATTATCAAATTGGTGTTTCTAATGAAATATCATGAAGTTATTGCATATAATTAAGAGTTTTAACCAATAATAAATGTCTGTACAGTCTGGATAAACAAAAAAAACTTTTTGACCTTTCTTGATCGGTTTTTAAAGGGTTAAGCATGACATTTTATTATTAAGATGTCAGAATTTCATTCTAAAAATGATTTGCTCACCTCATAGAGTTTTTTAACCTGACCATAATAACAGATAGATTCTGTTTCATGAGGATCATCACTTCCACCATGTCCAGGCTGATCCACTGCTATCACATGATAATCACCTGGTATCCTCTTTAAAATATATATTATAGCAATTTAACATCCTACTTTCTGCTTCTAGTGCGTTTATTGAATATGGAAGTTACTGTTTAAAGTCCACCAAATGCGTTGCTATGAAAGATGTAACTGACAAATATTTTTTTGTCTTATTTAAAGAAACCCATTAGGTATGGCCCTGAGGTTACGCAAGCAAAGAATCACATATAAAAAAACGTAACAATAGAAAAACTAACCTGAGCAACTGGAGCCCACATATAATGATCTGCTGAGAAACCATGTATTAATAATATAGTTGGTCTAGATCCAGACGCCTGGCCCTTTTCACCATAACATAATCTTACACCATTAACATCTATAAACTTTCTCTCCATTCCACTCCACCAAACTCGAAATCTTCAATAAAACAAAGCAAAATTTCCCTAGTTACACACTGCACATCCTTATTAGTCAAAACAGATGTAAAAAGGTAAACATTAAAGTGCACCATTTTTGCTGGTAGTAAGATTGACCTTCAATAGCAGTCCACATCAATTTTCAAAATTTGATGTCTTTGATTTATTCACAATTAAATGTAACGGTACCTGTTAATATTTAGTCAGTACTGGTATAAGCACTCCAACCGATATTGCTGATGTTACAACAGCCTAGCCTTTCATTGCAGATGAACATGATGTAGGATTTTCAATCTGAACAATGATCCAAATAGAAATTGAACTATACATGCTAGTAAAGCTAATATCTAAATAGGATGAAACAGTTTTATTACTATAATTAAAAATTACTTACTTCATCCAAGATTCTATAATAAAACAAGGACAGAAGAAATAGATAGCCATTACAACTAGACATATTGCTGTTGATAAAAACATCAATAAAAACTGCACCATATCATTGGTAAACATCTTAATTCTGAAATGTGGAAGAAACCATTCATATTCTGATTATATAGGCTAATAACTAACTTTGAAATAATTTCAGCTTTCCTTCTTGTCCCATGTTGTAGGGACTTCATAATTATGATGTCTTGTAAAAATTTAACTTTTTATTACCTAAACAACGTTACAATGTTAATCAAATTTTTCATAAAGCATTTTCATTCTATTTGACATCATCTCGTACTCTAACCCTAAAAAATTAGGCCTAACATGGCCTGAGGTCAATGAACTGACCTATTAGACTTAAGAGGTCTACTTAACCGTGATCTCATTAACACATATCTTGTAAAATCTAGAATCTAAACTTGATTAAAAAATTTCCGTGTTTGTGTAGGATCAACTTTAAAAATATATTTTAAAGCAAACTATAGTTTTGACAGACCCCCCGCCCCCCTTTCTAATCTCATCAATATCATCGTAGATAGAATTTTTACCTGATTGTTTGGTTTCTGTTGAAGTCGTTCTTCAAAAATATTCACTAAACAACAAACTTTTCATTCAATATTTCACTCAGTTTTACAATCACAATACTTCATATGAACAGTCGAAATTGTATCACTTACTTGAACTTTGTACCCAAATACTACAGCAATATAAACTTCTACCGTTAGATGGCGTTATGGTAGTCATAAACATCCAGTCTTTCAACAGGAAAAACAACAGACATTAAAGATCTGGACAATCGTACGGTGGGGTTCTATTAGGGTTAACTCCGTTACATATGTCATGTAATTAATTACGTAATAATGACTGATTAAGACATGGGGAGAGCGAGATTGGCCAATGAAATCATTGGTCTTCATTTAATAATATCAAAGTTTGGTTGACAGCGTCAACAACAATTATTTATGATAGTGGTTTAGCTGGTTTTGGGCATAAAAACTCGTTCCACAATTCCAATAACGTATAAGTACATAAGCCTAGTTCGACATTATAAAAATCAATTAATGTCTTTATGATACCTAATCCTAATAATCATGTTTGTTATCCCCAAAATAGGATTCCAACCAATTGAAATATCCATGTTACGATAAATTCTGTCCAATCCATAGTTGATTGTCAATTAATCAAGTGAATATTTCAGGATTTCTCATTGCCAATTTTCTGTTAACCTTTTCAGATCCTCGACGACTAGATCATGTGGATTTAATTATGTTCTGATGAATGCATGTTTAGTAAGAATTATTTCATAAAAAATGGCCTTCACCTGTCTAGAGTACTTCATCTTTTTTAACCAATAAACATGAGCTTTAGAAAAAGAAAGAGTTGGCCATTTCTTGCAGTCATGCAGTGTGGAATTAGGCAAATGTCTCCCAGGGAGCACACGAGTGGTTATCAACAAGAAAATGCATAATATATGAAAAATAATAAATGAATTTATCTTTCACATTTAAATATTCAATTCAGGGGCGTTTCCAGGCCAGTCATTTTTGTGAGAGGCTGGCTAGGAATGTACTTGATGTAAATTATCATTCATAAGTCCTCAAGCAGAAACTGATATTTACTATTTAGGTTATCCGACTATTGACAAATATCTTGTTACATGTTATATGATAAAGTTTCCATCAGGTTTATACCAAGGTGACTTACAACCTATACATTGTTTCAATACTTGTATTATAGAAAGTCTTGCAACAATGATATGGAAGTCATACCAAACTTGAAATTTTGTGTAAAAAATATAGGTATTTTTCCATAATTGGTATTAAGCTAGAGATTAACAACCTCACGTATAAATGAGAAGGCAAGCTTTAACAGACGTCTAGTTAGTGCCTTGAGTTCAGTTGTATGCTTTTTCAAAATTAATTCCATGAAATTTTCAATCATTGCACGCCTTAAGATACCACAAAGCTGGTGCAGGAAATATAATAAAACACTTTGTTACATTCTGCAAAATGAAATTTGGGCACTATCATATAGTTTTCAGAACGAACTTTTGAGAGTTTTCATTTAATCATAACAAAGCTCTGATGGATTCAATAAGTACATTGTGTATAAATCAACAAAATCTACATTACATTCAACAATCACTTCAATTTCAAAATTTCAGGTTCAATGCTAAATTTCTTAAAAATATTCTATGATGCTTCATATAACAATACGGTACTTTTCTTTGTAAAAAAAAAAAAATCACACATATATACTGATCCTTATCAAACAAATATAGTCCCGGATATAACATACTGGATATAACCTTACTTCTGGTTAAGACAAATTTTTGGTCAATGTTCTACTGTAAGACAGTCACAATGTATTCACTAAATACCAATAGGCCTACTGAACAGCTTATAAATTGCATAGTCAAGCTTCTAAAAATAAAAAAGCACAATCTCTCTCTTCTACAAGCTCAGCTTGGGTAGCATCCATCTTTTCTCTTGCGAAATCACTAATGGTCAAACCTGGTACAACCTGTACTACTTTGTCGGTACCAATCTGTACAGGAAAACTGTACATCAGACCTTGTTGTATACCATAATCACCTTTAGAAATGATTCCCATTGAAACCCATCTTTCACCGGTACCAAACCACCAATCTCTTACATGATCGCAGATAGCTTTAGCAGCTGACATGGCACTGGATAACTTTCTAGCTTGAATGACTGCCCCACCGCGTGTCTGCACTGTCTTAATAAAATCATTCTTCACCCAATTATCATCTTTAATAGCCTCTTGAGCAGGCATCAGTTTACCATTTACATGGACAACAGCATGAGCTAGATCAGGGAACTGTGTTGATGAGTGGTTACCCCAAATTATTGTTCTCTGTACATTTTCATTTGAAATGCCCAGTTTGCTTGCCACCTGAGCTTGTGCTCGGTTTTGATCCAGTCTTGTTAAACAAGAGAAATTCTCCTTTGGTATTGATGGAGCAAATTTAGAAATTACCAAAGCATTGGTATTGGCAGGGTTTCCAACAACCACAACTTTGACAGTTTTCTTAGCATGTGCATCCAAAGCAGCACCTTGGGACTTGAAGATCTTCACGTTTGCTTTCAAAAGATCTTTTCTTTCCATTCCCTGTCGTCTTGGCTGTGCTCCTACTAACAGAGCCACATCAATATCTTTAAACGCTGCTGCTTCATCGGCTGTCGGGATGACGTCTGCGAGTAATGGCAGAGCACAGTCTTGTAATTCCATAACAACTCCATCCAGTACTGCCATCATTGGTTCAATATCGAGCAAAACAAGCGAAATCGGTTGTTTATCGCCAAAGACATCTCCTTTGGCTATAGAGTATAACAATGAATATGCAATCTGACCAGCAGCACCGGTGACCAATACTTTAACGGGCTCAGACATTGCTAATTTCAAAAGAAATCACAGAAGAGGTAAATTTGTCCTTTGCTTAGATTATACAAGGCCACGATCATCCAAATGACGTATGGTGGGGTCAAGGTCGGTGTAGAGTTTCTGGACTCAGACAACAATTTATTTAGTGCACTTTTTTAATCCGAAATTCTTAACTACTAATTATTTCTATATATATGGTCCGCGACAAATCTGATTCTGAGTAATATAATGTGTTAGAAAACTGTCTATTATATAGGCTACTATTACTATTATCTCTATACAAAAAGCATTGTTGTAGAATCCAGCGTGTCCGTCTAAAAATCTCGCGAGTAACACGGACTAATTCTCGCTAGGCCTACAAACTACAGTTATTTAATATTACCCCCCTTAGACCACTGTAAACGAAGTCGTGTCCTTATTGTTAGTAGGGGACAAAATAGGGTTGGACAGCATGCAGATGCCCCATGTCCCACAAGTTTGAAATAAAAGACAAAAATGTGGTCACGGTCATAGCCCAATTTGTGTCCTCGTATACTGCATGACACTGCTTCTTTTAAGCAAAACCAAAAGCAGGAACTTCGTTTCATATCACTTCTAAAAATGGCTTCATATTATCAGGCAGGCTTTATACCAGGATTGTCCACAGTTCACCAATTGATAGAAATTTATGATAAAATTTGTTCAAATCCAGATAATAAGGAAGTTACAGCCACGATCTTTTTTGACATCTCAAAAGCTTTTGACAGAGTTTCTCACAAAGGTTTGATATTTAAACTCCGCCAATATGGAATTCGCAGCAATTTGATAAATCTCATCACAAGTTACATCTCTAGTCGGCACCAGAAAGTTCTTCTGGAAAACTGCAAATCTAAAGTCTTATATCCAAACGCAGGAGTTTCCCAGGGATCACTTTTAGGTCCTTTATTTTTCATTATCTATATGAACGATATTCACGAAGGTTTTAAAAGTTCTACACGTCTATTTTTGCAGATGACACTGGTCTTCAAAAAGTTGTAAACGGTTTCACTAAATGACTGATTTACATATTGTTTGAATTACTAATTATTAATCTCACTAGCCTATAAGAGAAGGTTTATCAATTTTATAATTAGTCCTTATTCTTTTGTTTGAAACAATAAAATATGTTAAAACCAGGCCCCTCTGGCGCGCACCCACCCCACTTCTTCCCTTACACTTTCAGCTCAGAGCTAGTCTCGCGTCAGTCGTATCATATACTCAGTTTATGTAGGCCTATTACTCCTCGTTTTTTGAAACATGGGCGTGGGCTATTCTCAGAGATAAGATACCAATCTTAAAAATTGTTCCCAAGCTAGAAGAGAAAATACTGTATGAGAAAAGCCAAGAAATGTTTTATCCTATTGTTGTTGTTTTCTCTTCAAATTGCATAAATTTATCCGATTAAAGGAGACATGGCATAATATTTTTAGGGACTTTCAAGATCATAAAAAGTACATTTTGTATCGTCTGAGAAGAACGATCGACAAACCCGAATAAAGTTGATTTGAACATATCTAGAACTACTCCCGCACCCAATCAATCCGCTTACAATCAAGTTGCCAATTCAGTTAACCAACCTTCATACAACATCTTATAAACCCACAACTTCAGATATAATTCTATCCATCTCTCCATATCTCGATTATTAATTAAGTCTAACCGATATCAACCGATAATCGATTATGATTTTCAACCGATTTCCCATCACTAGTAAGAGGTCACGAAAAACAGGAAGAGCACTAACAAAATCTAAAGGTCCGTTAGAGTTCAAGACATCTTAAACGATTAAAAGCTTCCTTGTCTGACAGCGATGGTGAAGAGTGGCCATGCATCATTTGCGGTGAGCCATTTGCAAGTTCGAAATCTAGAGAGACATGGTTAATATGCAGCCAATGATAAAAGTGGGCTCTTGAAGCTGCAATACAGGATCGTTTTTTTTTTTCTTTGTCCTAATTATGAAAGTGAGGTTTCGTATTAATGGTCCGAGTGGTAAAGTTTAGCATGTTTTTTTGTTAAAATTGAATTACTAATATTTGAATAAATAATAGCTAGAATAGTCGTTTACTAGTTTCTTCAAGTATTGGGGGTCAGACGCCCACTCATGGGCGAATTTCTCCACGTTAATGGGCGTTTTGCCCCTGGGATACAATTTAGTCAATATTCAATTTTTAGTATTACAAAAAATGTAGTAAGTAAATATCTATGTTCAGTCGAATTATGACATACACGTCCCTTTTCACTCCATCTTTCCTTAGTGGGTGCGCTTTGCCCCACCCTACCTATAAATGGCACCCATGGCAGCAAATTTGAAGATGACTGTCATATTAAGCAAATATACCTCTCAAACTATCAACACGTAATCAAATTTACGAAAATCTTTTAAATTCTTCATGCTTTTTTGGAAACTGTTAGAAACTCTTGTACGAATTTAATAAAATAAACTCATAATTGTAGAGAAATATGTCTCCTACGAAATCTAAAAGGTTTCAACTAATTATAACGAGCCATTATATAGCCAATCACTGAAACTAGGTCAAACTACTTTTAACAAAAGTATGTACTGTCAGTTTTTAATTCACCATTTTAAAACAAATTCAGTTTGATCGAGTAGATACATGGATATAAATAGCATACTTTAAAAACATTTTCTGGTATAATTTACTATGTTTTTGATAATGTAAATTTCGCATACTGCCCGTTTAAAAGTGGTCACTGTGATAACTTGTCAAAAAGTGGTGCTGTGCTGACCCTGAAAATCTTTTAAAAGTGTTGATTTACGAGAATCGGTGTTCGTTTCTGAGGTATTTATCAAGTTTTCTGAATTCAAGCACGAACATTATCAGTGCGTTATTTCACGATTCGTAGGGTGTCATGCCGGGTGGATCTGGGGTATACACGCTTTAAATCTTAAAATAATATTATACTTCATGTTAAATTCGATAATGACTTGAAACGTATCCAGTGAAATAGACAGTTAAATAGGAATAGTTATAAACAGTTAAAGTCATTACACTAATTCTCTTTTAAACAATAACATGTAGTAATATTCTCAGCAGGATTTCCTCCGACAATATTCGATTAACAGGACGTTTTAATTGTCATACACATCAATGAAAATAAGACTGGATAATCATATATCGTCATGTGTGTATGGACATTTTATCGACCTTAAAGTTAAAGGATGTTCAGAAATTTCAATATGAAAAAAAAGGTAAATACAATGTATACCGTCAAAACTGACGTGTCTGACGTGTTTACTGACGTGTGACGGAAACCTTACTCCAATTAGCATCCCGAATCATATGTGTTTTAGTTTGATTTCTACATTATTTTGTCAATATTCCTTTTCAGACTCTTAACTTTAAGCCAACAAAAGCATCACCTCTTTCTCTGGGCCACCATCTTTAACATTATAAATAATGTGGACACTTATTTTTTAAACTTACAGCGTATGTTATATTGTTTTAGTTTAATATTAATAGACATTTATCACATGGAGAGACAAGTGGTTGGAATTGTTGATTAACACTATATCACATTGGAATTCAACTGTACAAACGTGAATAATAAGTATGTAAGTTGTTTTTATCATACTACATGTTTTGTGTAGGCCTATTAACACAAACAATTTTATCATGATTTTGATAAGATTTTTGAAAACCCGTAAAAGGTACAAGACGAAAATCAGAGGAATAAGATTAGCCGAGCTACTTGGCCTACTTTTTGATAAATTGATTCCGGTTGCGGCCATATCTTCTCTCGACTTCTCGCCAACGAGAAAGTGAGGAAAAAGTTAAGAATGTGTTACTTAATTTTGACTCTACATACCGTATTGTTAAGAACATCGGTCGAGAACGAAAGGAGCCTATAGTATTCGTGTAGAGTATGTATATATATGTGAGATTACAGTGGTTAATATCACGGGAGTTATCAAAGAGATTCAAATCAGAACTTTATCTTCTTATCTCTGCTGACTTGTATTAACACAAATCAAAATCTGTCAAAAACTGCAAATTTTAGACAGTTTACCAAAGAATGCGAACGAACGAAATGGGTCCCAACAATCAAGAAAAGTTGGAGCATACCAATCTGATCGAGATTGTTTTTTCCCCTAAATACCGCATATACACATTATTCGGTTGGACAATTTTTGCTATTAAAAGAAGAGAGGAAATTAATTTCGTGCGAACCTAATTTCAAATGATTAATAATTCACATGTGCGACCTCGTATGACATCCAATTTGCATGTTTTGATAAACAACGTCTCTACAACGTCAACCAGCAGAAATATTCCTATCGTTTCAAAGCGATGTCAAATTTATTATTAATTTCTAACGTACACAAAATGGCGGATTTCAATCATTACCAAATATCACATTTTATCGGCCAAATTTCCTTATAATTTCATGCTGAAATCGAAATTCCAAGTTTCGTCTGGTAGAATATATTCCAGTGAACAAATTCACGTGATAAACTAGTGGATTCCATGTCAGCAGAAATATTCTATAAACACAATGTAGGCCATATTCTTATGTTGTTTCAATGACTTTTAGCAATAAATTACTCTTACGTTTTACATATCTTATTTTGTCACTCAATATTTTTTTTATATAAAATCATGGCTCTTTGAAGGAATTATTATAAATTATAATGAATTGATATTAAAGATAAATACTAAGATAAGTTAGATATACCACTGGGTATCCATACTTATTTATAGATCGAACATTGTACACGAAAATAGGTTACGCTTTCTCACTTTTTCCCCTCCCCTTTTCGACTTTTTCCTCACTTTCCCACTGAGCATAACTTTTCGGACTACGCTGGATCGAACATCTCATGCAGACTGGTTATTCAAGACTATGAAAGTTGCTCAAGACTGCTAGGCCTAAACTTCGTCGTTTCAAGACGTTCTGCTTCTAATGTGCACACGTTTAGTTGTTTGCTTCTTAAACGACTTTGCTTACCCGAAAAGAATATTCAGTTTCAGACCTGATTCTGAAAGTATTGACAGAAAAAGAAACAGCCTAGAAGCAGAGACCCAACTCACTTGACTCTCAAGTTAAAGAGAGTAGGTAGGCTATCTGTATAAACCATGAAAAGATAACTCTCGTGAATTGGTGAATTTGTCCCATTAGTAGGCAAAGAATTCGTTCCAGCAACATACAAGATTCTGACAACCGACGAATTTCATTACCCCCGAACAATCAAGTCTGGCTATGGGTCTGCCATACAAAGACGATAGTGGTCCTTAGTCGTTAAATATGGTAGACCTTCTGCTACTCATGATAATAATTATTATCTTGGTACTTGGTAGGCCTACTGTCCCATAAGAGTAAAAGACATTGAAATTTCAACTTCTTTGATTTGTCTCTTGTCGTACATTTCTCTTTAAAGCAATAATTAAATTTCTGTTTATTATATTTTAGTTGTAAAGGATAGAATGGGCCTACTATTATTGATACTGGAAAGTCTAGAAATATGCCTAATTTTAAGTAACCCAGACGACTGGTTGAAGGACATTTTAATTCCCTCCTGCTGACAATGTAAATTGTTGAAACATGACACATAGCCTACAACAAATTTGACAAAACTAGTATATTGTATTGTGTTATTTGAAACTTGGATCTTGTTTATCACTATAAGCTTATGGGGAAACAAAAGATGCCATATCTTTAGACCGAAACAACTGTTTCTATTCTGGCCTCTGATATCTATTTGAACAGATGTCAGCTGGTGTAGGGACAGAAATAATAAGCCCTGTTAAATGGGGACATTCCGCATCTCCGTAGTTGCGGGGGTTTTAAACCTATTTAGATACCTCGGATCTGCAAAACCCAGGTATATTTGGAAAGATAATATTTTTGTAGTTCATTCATATCATCATTTTCCCTCTACACAACTTATGTCATGTCTCCGGTTCCATAAAGGTTTTTTTGGCGAAACTAGCGGTTTGAAGATGGATAGGAACAACTCCAATAAAAAGTGACATTTCATGCCTGACCCTAAACGTCCCGATGGGCCTATATCTCGTCCGAAGAACTGTAAGGCCAGATTTGAAGACTTTGTGGATAAAGCAGAATTTATTTCCCTATAACGATAACAAGATCCACACTTTTTTCTTATATATCCTGGTTTCCATCAACATTTCATCTATGTATATCTTTATTTTTCTCTGATAATTATTGCTTCCTCTTTATTATTTTTTTCAGGATTTAGTAGTGTAAACAGTGGAACAATGGCGGTTTTAGATTTAATACGACAAACATTATCAACTAAAATAGCTAAATTAGTATTATGTATTCTTCTTGGTGTTTGTGTTTGTTTCCTGTTCTTATCTTCTGAAAATAAACAACTTGTGTCAAAACATTCACCAAATATGTTAAACAATTTGATGTTTAAGAGTACAAATAATAATTTACAGCAATTGTTTCCATCTGCTACATGTCCTATTGGTGTACAGTTGTTGAAACACGATTATCCAGCGATTTCAGCATGCACTGAAGGCTATTCAGCTTTAGAGAGGTCGCATATAGATTCATCAAAGATGGAGTCTCAGAGAGTGGTGATTCACAAGCCTTATTTAACTCGTAATGACAGTTTATTAATTGAAGTCGGTGGATATACGGGAGCTGATGCTGAAAGATTTATTGCCCATGGAATTCGACCACATTACATCATGCTAGAGCCGGTACCCATGTTCTTTAATCAATTGATCGACAAGTTTAAAAACGACCCTCGATTTATCATTTATAATTTTGGACTGGGGCGTGAAGACAAAGTGTTAACAATACCTATACAGACTGATGCTACTTCACTCTTTCGACAAAATATACCCCGAGGAAAAGGAACAACTGATATCAAAATACGGAAGTCAACTGTATTTTTTGACGAAGTGGGTGTGGCGAAGAAAAACGTTGATTTGTTACATATTAACTGTGAAGGGTGCGAGTTTGAATTGCTGGAAGAACTGATTGTAACTGGATATATTCGATATTTTAATCACATACAATTTCAATTCCACATGCACCTACCACAAATAAAACAAGAAGCGTGTCGGTACTGTCAAATCATGCAATTATTAACCAGAACACATACTCCAATGTTTCAATATAGACATACTTGGCAAGCGTGGAAAAAAATTGAACTGTGATCAGTGATCAGCCCCCCTTTGAGTTAGTCTGCCCCCTATTTGTACCCCCAAACCGGTAAACTGGCGCCGCTACTGAACCTTGTTGATACTAGTTCCAAACATACCGAATCTTACGAGCCCCTGCTTGCCTTTAACTTTAAAAAATATCACCTTAAGGTAAAACTTTGAGCAATTTTATGCACGATTGTTATTTTCTGTATATTGATGAAATAATTGACGATTTCATCTTGCACTTTTGTTGTATGATGAGTTTTAGTGTTATTGACCAAAATATGTTGAAATATACAATATAATAAATGTACATACAATAAATTGTTCTTCCATTTCATAAACAAAATGTTGTCTACAGGCCATTTTATGACATTGTCCTTCAAGGGACGACAGAAATCATGACATTTTAGTCCACGTGAGGCCACAAAGTATAACATTGTAGTCCAAGTGAGGCCACAGAGTATAACATTGTCGTTCAAGTGAGGCCACAGAGTATAACATTGTAGTCCAAGTGAGGCCACAGAGTGTAACATTGTCGTTCAAGTGAGGCCACAGAGTATAACATTGTAGTCCAAGTGAAGCCACAGAGTATATCATTGTCGTTAAAGTGAGGCCACAGAGTATAACATTGTCGTTCAAGTGAGGCCACAGAGTATAACATTGTCGTTCAGAGGAGTACAGAAAGTATTGATTTACACACAAAAAGTAAGGAGACAATTATATAGGTATGTGTCCTCAATTTCCACAAACGGTCGACCGTGAAAGTTTTGGAAGCGCAGAATGGCAGTCATTTTTTACCGGCATTATGTCAATATCTTCACGTGATTCTGATCTGAGACTTGTCGTTTAGATCTTCAGATATGAATCTAAAATGACAGTAAATGGATCATTGGTAAACCGATTGTCACAATATTAATATTACATAAGTGACTTATCCCAGAAAGGCTAGGGACTATAATCAGGTCGCAATATAATATCATATTTACGGAAACTGCTGAAGAAAACCGAATGTCATTTCAATTCTACTTAAATGATGCAGAATAGTAAACTCAAAACAATTCATTCATTAGTTCAAACAAGTGGTTGTCTAGCAAGATATGCCCCCGATAATATTATAGTACACCAAGGGCAGTTGTCAATCTGTGTCAAATAGTATCACAAATCTAACTTGTCCCAAGATATTGTTGATTTAAACCAACATAGATCATTTAAGTGTATCATTGAAGTCCATGGTAATTATAACCTCATAGCTCTAAATGATCACACCGAATTCATTAAAATCAGTTGAAAACTGTAGTCTCTATAGTGTTAACTCACAAATTTGGACGCGTTTTTACAGAGTCAAGGGCAATAATTCAAAAAACGTTCATCAAAAAATCATCAAATTCGAACTCAAGATCTAATCAATATAAATACTCACACCAAATTTCATTCAAATCGGATAAAACTGTTTCTATTGTGTTCACAAGCAAATTGGTCGGACTGGCTGACGGACCGGGGCGGTAACAATATATAACCACTTTATAATGTGACCGTATACAAATCTAAACGAAGGCTTGGTTTTATACTTGAGTTTTACTTAGACTGGGAAAGAATAAGACAAAATTTACAATGAAAAAATAGAGAGAATTTGAGAGGAAACCAGTATACTTATATATAAACTATGGTCATATTAATATTATTATTATAGTTTAGCCAAGGTGTTCTTGGATATATATATAGAATAAAAACATTTACACAACAATATAATGCAATCAAATTGTACAAAGGCTAGGCTCATGTATTTGGACTATTCTTACAAATAAATTCTTAACCAAGCATATTTTCAGAGATTAAAGTCCATTTTCAAGTTTGTCCAGCTGATAACAGATTGTTATCATTTCAACTACAATGTATTCATCTACAGCAGATGATACCTTGGAAAATATTGAAGATTAATCTTCACGACAAAATAAAATCCTATCCATGAATCACACGTCAGAAACAACAAGACAAGTACTAGCCTGAATCAGAAACATTGAAACCTTGTAAAAACATTTACGATTTCAATTCGAACACAAATTAATCTCTTGTATACATAGGGAACACTAAACTTATTTTGATTTTTGATGACATATAACAGATTGTCCCTGTTCCTTAATACAAATATATGTTCTCATCTTGTGACCTACACAAGTTCTCCTACAGAAGAGAATCTTTTAACAAACAATCCCTTTCAGTTGATTTCAAAGAGTACAAATATGAGCACAAGAAGCAATTTGAAGTCAAATCTATCATAAATACCTAATCAACCTTCAAATCACCAGCCTTCAGCTTTTCATTCAAGAAACAGGGAACTGTTATATGATTTATAATTTGATTTGAAAACAATTCGTGAGAGGAAAATGCATTACTGATAAAGTTCAAATTTTTGGAAACCTACACGTCATGATGTAAGGCAGCTAGGATCAACATGAAGGTAACAATACTTAATTTGAACTCTAATAATTCTAATAAATGAACTTTTCGCCTAAACTAGTTAGACATTGAACACAATATGTTATTATGAAAGAGATTTGGTTTTTGAAAATGTTTCCTTTACCAGCTGATAGATGTTTTTTCAACATTCAGAACTAAAATTAATTGTAGGTTAAAAAGCTCAAAAGAATAAGCTAAAGCTACCTCTGGTGCATATCTGAAAATATAACATATTTATCGTGTTTCACTGTGGCCAGTTTAATTCATAACAGGTAATAAATATTCATATGATTATTCAAAATATGAATATTGAATAATAAAAGTCTTCATTTACCACCTCATAATGAATTATACGGATAAAGTGAACCATGGTATAATCTATTTGAATTGATACAGTGATGTGGAATATCTGATAATGCCCAGAATGAAAACAGGCATAATTGTCAATATAGAAGATAATAATTAAATATACATGTACAATATGATATCTGATGATATGAACAATTTGATACAGTGATAACAAAATATATTACACATTAAAAGCAACATTAACAATAATAATAGCACTTTTTTAATATCTAAAAAAATTGATAAATTTAACAACAAACAAAAATAACAATCCTAACACTTGTCTTTAGAAAGGGATATGCAGACTGATTCAGATGTCAGGCAAGATAACAAGCACCCACATGGTAGATTCATTAAAAAATAATTTTGTCCTATCTTGTCCTTCATGAAGGTTTATAACTTCTAATATTTTTGATTTATGATTTGAGTTTGAAGTTTGTCCATGGGGTAGCTAGATTAGCAAGCTCTGTACGTTCAGGATCTATGAAATCAATCAGACATTTTCAATACAAAAAGTTGAAGCAGAGTTCACACTACACATGTGCCAAAAAAATAGTAGGTGCAGACAGAATTTAAAATGGCTAAGAAAGAATGAGATAGTAAAATAATGTTCGAATGAGGGCAGAATTGAAACAGATGAACCTATTCAGAACTCTTCAATTGAGATAATTTTCCATTCCATTAATTTATCAATTTTATTATTTTTCACTAAACTAAGTTGCATGAAGATGACGTAAAAACTCTGGCCCAACATCCTCAGTATATGATTGTAAATATATTCATTGATCTCAACTGAAAAATCTAGCTCTCAGACACTTTGAAACTCTTGCCAGACAAGACAGGTAAATAGCCATTCCATGTCTGAACTGCATTATTGTAATTTGTTAGACAATATTTATCAGTTAAATAAGATTAGATAACAAATAGTTTGATAATATATTACTATCTTTTATCAGTTGGACATATCTACATAGTGACGCTTCTTATTCATATTAATAACACTCTGACATGTCCGCCATTAAAACAGAACAGAATAAACCCTTACCCCGACCCTTACAAGATTATTCTGTTGATTTAAAGATAGGCTCCCTTATTTTCATTTAAGAAAATGAAAATGCTTATACTTATATGAATAGAAAGTAGAGGTGTTCTAATGACTTAATAAAATACCAGTTTGTCTCACATGTCCATAATTAATTCATAATTAGCTAAATTTGAGAATTACCAGCAGAATTACAATGAGTGACCGATCAAGAAAGGTCAAAAAGTATTTTTTTGTTTATCCAGACTGTACATACATGGACATTTATGATTGGTTAAAACTCTTAATTATATGCAATAAGAACATAACGATATGATTAAGAATAAATGATAAGTCATTAGAAACACCAATTAATCAAATAGTGTGCTGAATTTGATTCTAACAAATAAGGAAATCCATCTTTAACAGATAGAAAGTGAACCAAGTTATATAGATAGACAACATAATAAATATATATGTAATAATATTAATAATATAAGACAGCCATTTTAAAATAAAACCACCACTCTATGAAGTAGTGACGTAACCTTGGGCAGGTACACTTGTCATCTGGCTTGTATTTAAACTAACACTAAAGTCTGATGAGATTAAACTATTTCCAGTACTTGGAACTCCATTTACAGAATGGCCGGTTGACGTAGGAAAGTCTGAATTCTGCGTACTAGACGGAACTTGTCCGAAAATTCCTCCGCCTGTCATTTGGAGATTGTATTCGGCCGTTTCCATGCGTAAAATATATGGTATGATACTGTCAATTTGAACATTTCCGATTAATCCAGAGAAAAATAGTTCCTCCATGATATTCGGGTTGAACGCTTTAAGTGGCTGGAGTCTTAACAACAATTGGCAGATACGTTCAGCGGCAGACGTGTTTACCGATGACGAATACTGAACAAATTCTTTTTCTACTTTTTCTTGTAATTTTTCTACTTGTTTTTTGTTGATTATGTTCGGATTATCTAAAAAAAAAAAACAAAAAGAGAAAGAGTGCAAGGTATGATTTGAACTCAAAATTAATCAACAACTTTGATTGGCTGATTAAAGATTAAATTTTCATCCAGTCAGACCTGTGAATTTAACAGAGGTTTCATAGTGGGAAAATATATGAATAACCAGACGCATGATTTCAAGGGATCAAGGGAAGTAATAACACTTTTAATCAATGAAAAGAGAGAAATTTTCCAGTCATTAAACTGATTGTAAAGAGGTTTTCAAAATTTTGTATGTACATCAGGGACACTGATAGCATCAATTTACACCATTCTAATTTTCTATCAGATTTCTGTGGTTCCTGCAATTCCACAAAAACCAAGTGGTAGATGACATCACTTACTTTTGTGTTAAAGCATAATTTGTGAGTAGTAACATCATCAATCACTTGGTCTTTGTGGAATTACAGGAACTACAGACAAAAATGGGAAAGGTGTAAATTAGGACTGTCATTTGAACACATTTTCACAATCCCTTTAAATAATGTAATTCATAATACATGACGTACTAACCTGGCTGAAATAGTACGAGTGCTTTAAGATAAGCATACTCTGCTGTACTAGGCTGTAAGTTCTGCATGGCAGTAATATAGTCTTGTAATCTTAAGATATGTTCTATAGTAACTTTTACTCGATCTGAACCATTCTTATCTACAACAACAAAGTTAGCCATTGTTTAAATGATGGTTGCTATGGATACTCCAAATGAAAACTAATAATCATAACTTTTAAATTGATTTCTGTATTGAATTTTGTAGGTAATTTGATATCAAAAATTATACTTACACCAGTTTAACAACAGAATGTAACCCAAGAAAAAAGAAGAGCGGTTCAAATTAACCATACCTTGTGAGGAATTAGACTGTAAATGATTCAATATGGCCGCCAGTAAAGTAGGAAGGCACATGACATTAGAACACTGGGCAAGACCTAACGTAAATAATTCACTCCAACAAGCTCGTACTAAAGTTGTTTGTAAATCAGGACTGAAACAAAATAATACAGAAATGTTAAAACCATGCACATTTCTTGGTCATAATAGATTCATTTTTATAATATATAATCATCATCAATGTCTACAGTACTTGTTTGAAATTTTCATGAGTAGTCATAACATGTATTACTTAAAGGTATACTACCACTTAGGATGATCAAAAAATTGAAATTTTTGAACTTGGTTAAAATGAATCTTTGTTTATCAGTGGACTTAAGCAGAAGTATCCTTTAACTACATTATTCATATCACTTCCTTATTCGTTTATTTTCAATGAATAACATTACATACTAGATAATTCATATCATTATCAACTTGATAAGTAATTCATATCATTATCAACTTGATAAGTAATTCATATCATTATGGACATGGTAAGTAATTCATATCATTATGGACATGGTAAGTAATTCATATTCATTATTTACTTGATAATTCATATTCATTATTTACTTGATAAATTCATATCATTACTTACTTGGAAAGCATTACATATGTTTACTTGATAATTTATAACATTACTTGATAAATTCATATCATTACTTACTTGATCATTTGAAAGGCATTGATAGATCTTGTCCAATGCATGGAGAGAAAAAGAAGTCGAGAAGCACTTTCACAAACAAAATGTACATTTAAATAGGCAGGCATGGGTGAGGGTGTGGTTAGGTTAAATTGATAGTTGACGTCTGTTAAAACTGGACCTGAAATGTCAGACAGTTATATATTCAGAGTAACTCAGTCACTCAGGTTGTTGGAATCTTTACATGATGTCATTTGCTTGGTTACGTCAAGCAACTTGTAGTCATGGGTTCTAATATTGGAAAGTTTTGAATATGTCTTAATTCCCTCAGTCAACCCGGCTGATAATGGGAGCTGATTAGGACTGATCGAAATAATCGATTATCGTCACTACAAATTTCGATTATCAAATTTCATAATCGATCATATGCCAATAAGTAGTAATCTCTTCCACATAGCACATAACTTACACACAATTAACTATAATAACTGATCAAAACAATAATATACTTCTATGACACAAACATAACCCATGAAACTAAGACATTTTAGCATGTTTTTGATTATATTAACAGGGTTTCTCAATTGAATTATTTCAATTATTAATAGATTATTGATCAGTAGTCTGCAATCTTTAATCAATCTCAATTTTGTAATCGATACCCAGCCCTAGTGCTGATAATCAGGCATTGATCAATGACAGGCAGGTGGAAGTTGTTATCTTTGAAAAATATTCTTCTTTCTTTCAATCATTTAAGATAAATTTTGCACCGAGACATATTGTTTCCTACTGTTTACTCATTGAAATGATTTAGAACAATGGCTGTTTGCAACAGTTGCTCCATAATAAAACACTGACAAAAAAACTTACCTTCAAAATCTATAACATAAGAATTATCTATAGAATCAACTCCAGAATGATCCATACTGTCTGACAGTGTCGACTGGTCTAATGTACTGGAGCTGGTCTGCTGAAAAAAACAAGATGTATTATATTCCCTGCAACGTTGGTATCAATAATCAACATACAAAATACATCTGAACTACCGTTTGCTGGCAGGCAGTGTCACCAAGATTTTATTTCAGGTTTCACGCTGAAGTATGTTTTATGAGTATGTAATGAACAGTAGTTACATGTATACGTCTTATCTTTGTACAGCTTTATATGTTACTGACCTGTCCAGAATTAGGTTGTATAGCTTTATATCTTACTGACCTGTCCAGAATTAGGTTGTATAGCTTTATATCTTACTGACCTGTCCAGAATTAGGTTGTATAGCTTTATATCTTACTGACCTGTCCAGAATTAGGTTGTATAGCTTTATATCTTACTGACCTGTCCAGAATTAGGTTGTATAGCTTTATATCTTACTGACCTGTCCAGAATTAGGTTGTATAGCTTTATATCTTACTGACCTGTCCAGAATTAGGTTGTATAGCTTTATATCTTACTGACCTGTCCAGAATTAGGTTGTATAGCTTTATATGTTACTGACCTGTCCAGAATTAGGTTGTATAGCTTTATATCTTACTGACCTGTCCAGAATTAGGTTGTATAGCTTTATATGTTACTGACCTGTCCAGAATTAGGTTGTATAGCTTTATATGTTACTGACCTGTCCAGAATTAGGTTGTATAGCTTTATATCTTACTGACCTGTCCAGAATTAGGTTGCATAGCTTTATATCTTACTGACCTGTCTAGAATTAGGTTATATAGCTTTATATCTTACTGACCTGTCCAGAATTAGGTTATATAGCTTTATATCTTACTGACCTGTCCAGAATTAGGTTATATAGCTTTATGTCTTACTGACCTGTCCAGAATTAGGTTATATAGCTTTATATCTTACTGACCTGTCTAGAATTAGGTTATATAGCTTTATATCTTACTGACCTGTCCAGAATTAGGTTGCATAGCTTTATATCTTACTGACCTGTCCAGAATTAGGTTGTATAGCTTTATATCTTACTGACCTGTCCAGAATTAGGTTGCATAGCTTTATATCTTACTGACCTGTCCAGAATTAGGTTGCATAGCTTTATATCTTACTGACCTGTCTAGAATTAGGTTATATAGCTTTATATCTTACTGACCTGTCCAGAATTAGGTTATATAGCTTTATATCTTACTGACCTGTCCAGAATTAGGTTATATAGCTTTATGTCTTACTGACCTGTCCAGAATTAGGTTATATAGCTTTATATCTTACTGACCTGTCTAGAATTAGGTTATATAGCTTTATATCTTACTGACCTGTCCAGAATTAGGTTGCATAGCTTTATATCTTACTGACCTGTCTAGAATTAGGTTGTATAGCTTTATATCTTACTGACCTGTCCAGAATTAGGTTAAATAGCTTTATATCTTACTGACCTGTCTTGAATTAGGTTGTATGGCTTTATATCTTACTGACCTGTCCAGAATTAGGTTGTATAGCTTTATATCTTACTGACCTGTCCAGAATTAGGTTGTATAGCTTTATATCTTACTGACCTGTCCAGAATTAGGTTGTATAGCTTTATATCTTACTGACCTGTCCAGAATTAGGTTGTATAGCTTTATATCTTACTGACCTGTCCAGAATTAGGTTGTATAGCTTTATATCTTACTGACCTGTCCAGAATTAGGTTGTATAGCTTTATATCTTACTGACCTGTCCAGAATTAGGTTGTATAGCTTTAGCTAATGTATCAAAAGCTCTAGCTACTGTATCTGCTGTAGTTTCTGTTGATGTCTGCTCTGATGGTAGTACAGTGATACCACTTTCCCCTAAATTATTTAGTCCTAATACATTGGGGTCACCTTCCTTCTGTTCCATAGTGGCTAATGTTGTCACTACACTAGCTAAGGTACTCAGATCTATATACCAAAAAAAAATATTTGAAATCAGTGCTTGTCAATTTTGGATCAAATATTCTTCTTGAAATTAAGTAAATTGAAAGTTAACAACTCTTTTGAAATCAGAAGCAATGATTTCCATTAAAACTTCTAATTTTGAAGTTCAAAACAAGATTATGTTGGAATTTGTCAAATTATAACATTTCAAGATAAAAATAGTTATGTAAAAATAGGTAATATACGCCCACTGGCAGCTTTGATTTTAAATAAAAATATTTAGCAATACAGTAACAATCACCAAATATTCAACCTTCAGTCATACACTTCTTTTGAACCTTTTGGTGCAATACTGAATAATATTACCTAGTTGTGTCAAAACCTTGCTTAGTGTTTGTAAAATTGTAAAGGTTTTTCAAGAACCTGTATAAAATATTTTTCAATTTTTTAATATCAATAGAGATGAACTATAGGTGATAATAAACTTTTTCACCAAGCTTCATCAAAATCAATCAAGAATTATACCTTTGAGCTGTTTACATGCTAAAACTTGAACAAGATTTCAAGAACAAGGGCAATAACTCATACTAGATGTTTTCAATTTTTCAATATAGGGTTCATCAAATTGTACCTTCTAGAGTGCTTACGAGCAATTGTGGACCAACAGACATGGCCAATATATGCCACCCATTCATTCCATGTGGACGTATAAAAAGAGGGCGAATAGGATGCAACATGGCAACAGGTGAATTGGGAAGGGGGGTGCCATGAGATTGAGAATAAACAAAGTTCTACCTGTATTGGCTGTAGTATGAGATGATGGTAATAACACCATGCCTTGATCAGTCTGTATAACTCTCTCTTGTAAAGTAGCTAATAAACTACGGTTTGCCTTGTCACCATCTTCTAACTAAAAAACAAAAATAGCTTAGACAGTTTATATATCACAGTACGTGTTTGTTTGTTTGTGTGTGTGTCTTTTCTAGATTAATCCATTTCTAAGTTAGATTTCAGGGAATACTTATTTCAGGACTGGTGCCATGGCAATATACAGTATATTGTATGTCAGAATGTGCATGTTATCAAAAACAGGTCTTTCATGACAAGCGATTCAAATCCAAGTGCATAAAACAAAGCTACATTGACTGGGAAAGTAATTATTAGTACCACTCAACAAATCATTTGATAAAATCTAAATATTTAGTATCAGATTGTAAAAAGGTTTTCTTAATTTTTTACGTGCTTTGGAAACACAAAAAATAGGTGTTTGATGTCACTAATCAGTAACTTAGTGAACATAACTGAAAATTTGAATTGTGTAAATTGATGCTATCAGTGTCCCCGCTACACATAAAAAGTTTAGACAACCTCTTTACAATGAATACTCAATAATTTGGAGGTTACCTTAGGTGAGAAGGTTGGTATAGCTGCTGATGGACTGTTAAAATCTTTTCGGATGTAGATTCTTTGTGTAGATGTTGCCACATTCTGTTGTAGTTTTTCTTTTTCATTTTCTGTAGGTTTACGTTCTGACTGTACAGCTACGAGACCAGAAAACATGAAAATAGATACATCTGGATAACAAAGAACGTTTTCACAATGCTTTTGGATTTAATCATATCAACAGCTACTCAAAATTCTTAACTTTATTTCTATATGAAATTCTCATTGATTGCTGATTTTCATGGGATTCAAAAGATGTTCTTTTGCCTTTTGTGTGAAACACAAGATTCATGTTTTACTTTCCTATCCCATGTCTGGGGTTTCTGTCATTCCAAAACACTTGACCAGATAATGTGTCATCATGTGGTAAAGTTTTTTTTAGAATATCAGGTACCACAGACATAAGAGAAGAAAGTGAATAACAAGCATGGAATGTAAAATTTTATCTCGGTTTTTGATGAGTAAGGGAAAAGGAGTAAGTATGAACAGAAATAAAGTAAGGGTAAGATTGACTATACTAGAGGATTAGTAAATTAGACGCTGGTTGTAAACCCACCCTTCACAGCTGATAGCTCCATAATGTCTACCTGCAATTCAAATGTCATACTATAATCATATATAACATTGTACATCAAGAGAGAAAAAAAACAGAAACAACTATATTTTACAAGGATAACAACTTCGGTTCACAGTTAAGAATCCTTTCTTCCTACTGGCCAATAGCTAAATCTCTTGGAATTGATCTTTGCTGGATTATCCGTACTCATTTACAACTGGGTCGACTGGAATTGTGAGTGAAGATGATTTATTCAAGGTAATCGAACCATCACACGCCGATCGAGAATTGAACCCACAGCCACAATTTGCTAGACGTAACCAAACAAATAATGTCAGGTTAAGAACCAACGCTCAAACAGACTCTTGCTAAAGAACCTCATATATGCTATGGAATATATTATATATATATTGAACGCCATCTTGAATTGATTAATTTGCAAAATATGCATTGTAGTCATAGTTATATCCAATGCTACTCCTGTTTTAGCTTTCTTCTACAAGAAGAAATTTTGCTTATCTTTTGTTTGTTACTTTAAGTAGGACGTAAAACTCCATTCATTTCATTTTCTTTTGTTTTTGTTTGTTACTTTGACCCTAAAATTGTTAGGGGAACTGAACAATAACAACCCACCATCACCATGGAAACTATTGAATACAAACCTGAAGCCGAATCTCCACAAACAGAACAAGGATCAAATTTTTGAGTTGATATCTTGACAGACATTTTGTCGCGAACATTTGCCTGTTCTTCACGTAACCTCTCTAATCTTTGAGCATGCTGTAGTTCCTGAAACACCACGTAACATCAGGAATAAATAATTCAAATGATAATGAAAATTTAATTTTCAATGCAGTCCGAATTTTCTTGTTTCTTGACTCAAGATTTCTACAATAGGATCAGAATGACGTCTATCATTTTGGACTTTCAAATTCTCTAAATGTTTAAAGGGACAGGAAAGCCATTTTTTTGACCAATCATATTTTAGTCTCAGAAACTGGAATTTTTTAAGCGAAGCTCAATCGAAATTTGAGCTTTCAAATCCATGTGTGTCCAGAATTATCTGAGTTTGAATGTTAAAATGACAATGAGTGATAGATCTTTAGACTACCAAGAATTCTAAAATTTATTGTCAATATATAATTTGCAGGATAGGAATATTAAAAAATAGAACCTGAAACATGTTGTTATTCAGTTTCATCCTCTTGCGATAACTAACCTATTTTCAGCGTGCGTCCCTAGGAAATAGGTCTGTTGTCTGAGGATCGCAAGAGCATGAAACTCTTTAAGTAACAACCTGTTTCAGGTTCAGTTTTAATATTTATATATCGCTCTACAACTGATGTAGTGAGCACTACTTTAACAGTGAAAATATTGTACTCTACAGGATACAATACTATATACTACAAACTATCAGGAACTGTTGTCTCTGATTTTGATTGAGAAGAAATACCTTTAATTTTGAAGCCCAATCTATGGAGGTGAGTGAACCAGCAGGTACCTGAACAACTTGAGTAGGTAGAGCTCCTTCTTTTAACTTGACTGCTAAATCTGCTGGATTCATAGCTGATACCACCACAGATTGGTTGTGTCCTGACATCTGAAAATACAAGTCAAAACATGATTGTTTGCCCTACCCTCACACAAAGTGTGCCCAGATGTCAGAATAATTTTTTATGTCAATACAAACTTCTAACTGCATGTTTTTTGTTCCAGCTTAAAACCAACATGAATGAACATGTCCAGATGTGTCTCAACTCTTTGTGATTATTGTAATATGCCTCAAGCTAACTTACTGATCTTTGTCAGATCAGCATGCTTATGTTTAAGAAACGATATCCAAAATGGCTGACATTACCTGTGGTATAGTAACAGGAATTGTCAAGTTGCCTTGTTGTAATGTCAATGTCGGTATGGTAACAGAGCTGGTACCACCCATGTTAGAATTCACTATGTGAATGACATTTTCAGGATTCACCCCACCAACACTGGTACCATCCATAGTTAATATAGTCCCACCATGAGGGTCGGTACCATCACCACTAGAACTATGGTGAACTTCCTCTAGGGAAGCCATATGTGGTTTTCTTCTTTACTGAAACCAAAAAAACAACACAGTGAATTACAGTCATATCTTTACAGCTTGGCTAATAACTTAACAAGTTAAAGGGATTGTAAAGAAGTTTTCTGTAGACATTTTTTGTGAATCGGAGACAGGGATAGCTTCAATTGCACCATTCCAATTTTCAGTCAAACCTCTCAGGTTCTTGCAATTATGACACAGCAAGAACCACAAATTTTTAACTGAATATTGAAATGGTGCAAATACACATGATGATACATATGAGAAGTTTAGAAAACCTCTTTACGATTCCTTTAATATCTGTTGATGTCCCAAAACCCTTGTTTGATACAGATCATATTCACCTCTCATGACGACTGAAAATAACTCTTTTGGGCCAAGTAATATGACAAAATAGCCATTAACTAACATGTAGAGGAAGAAAGCTGTAAAATTTCCCTGAATATTATTGTTCATAGTCAGATATCATATCAATTTCAATTTCCTCCAAAACACTTGATTTAAATGATAATTTTTCTACTCAATTTCTTTTGATTAAACTAAAAAATCTATTCAATAAAAAGCTATGAAATTTTTAGACCTATACAAGGTGGAATATTCTTTGCTTACTGTCACTAGAGCATCAAAACCATTAAAAAGGTAAAACGACCTGCCAAATCTTTTTAATTTAACCTTACAATGACCTTTAACCTTACTAACTCTTGAACTTTGAACCTCTATACATCAACAAATATCACAATAGTACAATGTTGTAAGTTGTAGTAGGATTTGGCTAAGTATTTGGAGTTTGAACCAAATGCTTTTTGGGTTATAACTCTACAGCAGTTCTGGTTGAGCAGGCTACTATGTAGGCCAACAGATATAGCCAATGGAATTTATAAAAAGTGCAACCTTCCTCTTTTAGAATTT